TAATATAGCCTTGGAGTAACTGGAATAAAATGCTTGTTAGGTAGGCCCAGTGGAACACATCTGTAATCCTAGCTACTCTGAATTGAGAGTTCAAGGTCAGCCTAGCAAGGTTAGTGAGACCTTGTCTCTAAAACAAAATATAAACAAAGGGCAGAAGCAACTCAGATGTTAGAGCACATGAGCAAGGTTTTAAGTTCAATCCCCTTTCAATCCATAGGACTAAGAAGGGGGAAAAGTCTGTATTGATAGACCAGAGCTAGAAAACTAGTCTGGTCTAGGGAGTCTTCCCTATCACTGGCAAACAATTTGTGTTAAAAAGTTCATCAGGATCCTGGGTGAGGACACAAAGTAGACATTCTTCTTGACCCTGTCTCGGTCATAGTCATCTTCTACAGTTGTCCAAAGGTCTTACAAAGTGAGTATTAGACACAGCCTCTATGATGAGAGATGAGTTCTGCCACCAATATCTTACAAATCTCTTCAAATATAGGAAAAGGATTAATATACATGGCAGCCAAAAAATAGCAAATGTCCATAGGAAAGAACAATGTACTAAGACTAACAATTTTATTTCTAAGGATAAACTCTAGATGTAGAAACTCCAGATACAAGAAAATATTATTTATATTCATTGTTTCCAAACTGGAATCCAATTTTGTTCATTAGCAGGCAAATGGATAGTTTGTTTATATAATGCTATTTAATAATTAAATGAATTTAAAAACTCATATTAACATGAATAAAACTTTTTAAGTTTGATTAAAAACAAAACTGTAGAAAAAGATTTAAAAAACTACAGAAGAACACATAGAGTATGATACTAGTTTCATAAAATCTAACCACATAAGATCACAGTATATATTGACACAGATAAACATGTAATAGAAGTCTAAAAACATGCATGAAAATGATACATAGATCCTTCAGGAAACTTTTTTATTTTTTGGTCAGTTGTGGGAGCTTGAACTCAGGACCTGGGTGCTGTCTCTGAGCCTCTTTGTGGTCAAGGCTAGTGCTCTACCACTTGAACCACCATGCTACTTTCGGCTTTTGAGCGATTAATTGGAGATAAGAGTCTCACTGGGACTTTTTCAGAGCTCAGTCTCCTGAGTAGCTAGGATTACAGGCATGAGCCACCCACCCCTGACTGGTTCAGGAAACTTTTGAAATAGAGTAAAAAAAAAAGATTGACTAGATTGAAGCTTTAGCAGTCACATTTCTTTTTAAAAGTCAAATTTGAAAAATATTAGTGTTTGAATAGGAGACAATGTTGTTGTTCTACCCAGAACTCCTAAGACCCTTTATTGACTTGCACACAACAGAGCAGTTTAAACTATTCTCTACTTTTTCTTTTCCCATTTACTCCTCAACTCCAGTCATGCTTCCACCCAACTGATTTTCCAAAACTTCTTTTCCAGATCAACTGATGATTTCTCTAAGATTAAAACACAGGTCCCTTAGTAATCCTTGTGATCATTTCTTCCACTTTGCAACACTTTGTTCCCTTGCTGTGATAGAAGCCTGGATTGTTGTTCAGTAAATATTCTCCTCACCTTTCCTAACTCTATTGATGTTGGGTGACATACTTTAGCCAATGGAATGTTAGGCAACTTGATGGGAGGATTGACTTTAAATGTGCTCTGGGTTTTGGATTCACTTTTGGTCTTGACCTATTGTAAGATCTCCAAACTAATTGCTGCTTTTCAATTCTGAGCTCCAGATGAGCACATAAGCAATAGAATAAGTTCAACCTATAGCTTAATTAAAGCCGAGTTACTCCGTTTAGCACATCTTAGGACAGCTAAACTAAAACCAACTCACAGATCTGTGGGCATTAGAACAAATAGGTGACTTGTCTTGTTTTAGCATGATTTATTATGTAGTATTATTGCAGCAGGACCTGCCTGACACAACTACCTGCTAGAACACATCGTTTTCTGTTTCCTCCAGTCTTACTGACTGCTTCTCCACATTTTTCTGACCATTCACATAGGAGTACTTCCAAGGGTCAATTAATTCTCAGACCCCTTCTCTTTTCTTACTCTTGGTATTCTTTGTCATTCTCAAGACTTTAAATGTTATCTGAAACTCCTGAGTTTATGTTGCTAGCCCAGGACTTGATTTCCAGACTGGTATAATCCCCTGCCTATCTGAAATGTCCACTTGGATTTCTGAGAGGAATTTCAAATTAAATCATTTGCCTGAACAATTCCTGTCCTTGCCCAACTTTGTCCTTTTATTTTTCCTCTTAGTGAGAGCAATGCACTCCTTCCATTTGCTTAAGGCACAAAACCTGGAGTCATTCTTTTTTTTTGGAGGGGGGTCCGGTCATGGGGCCTGAACTCTGGGCCTGGGCGCTGTTCCTCAGCTCTTCAGCTCAAGGCTAGCACTCTACCACTTGAGCCACAGTGCCACCTCCGGCTTTTTTCTTTTTGCTTATATGGTGCTGAGGAATCGAACCCAGGGCCTCAGGCATGCAAGGCAAGCGCTCTACCACTCAGCCACCTTCCCAGGCCCCTGGAGTCCCCAATTCTCTCTCACATTCCATTGTATCCTTGGGCAATCCCATTGATATTGCCTTATGATTATTTTTGTTAAATCTAACCCTTTCACTACTATCAACTTGGTTCCATTCATCTTTATCTCATCTCAATTGTGCAAGAGTCTTCTAATCATCTCCTCACATCTGCCCTTCCTCTTTTCTATACTCTATATTGCCTAAACCTCCTTTTAAAATGTTAGACTGATGGTATCACTTCTCTGCTCAGGTAACTTAAGTCTTGACTTCATTTATTATCCTCATTCACTCTAATCTAGCTGCTCTGACTTCTGTGTTGTTCTAAGGACCTGAGCCAACCATGTATGCTCGTGCCTTTACCTAGCTGCTCCCATTGGCTGGAATACTGTCATCTGGATGGATTCACAGGCTTGCCACTTTCAAATACCTCCTTCCATAGTCTAGAACTGCAGCTTCCTGCCTCCGAAAGTCTTTACATCGTTCCTTTATTTTTATTCGTAGCACTTATCGCAACCTAAACAACATATTCAACTTGTTTCCTCATTAGTTTTTTTTTTAAATTAAATGTTACTCATCCCCACCCAGAATGAATAGTCTTGTTTGTCTGAATTTAGAATCTTTGGGTCCTGGAATATAAGCGACACTCACATATTTGTTACATGAATTCATCTATTTAGGCTGCTTATTTGAAATTTTATGTAGATAAAAATAGCAATGATAATAGTCAATGTGTATATGATATAATAATGAACTAGGAAAATTGAGAGAATGTGTAAGAATGGGAAAGATGTCAGAGAATGATGAGAGGAGTGACAGTGATCACAATGCATTGCGCTCAGACTGACTTGTGGAATTGAAATGCCTTCGTACAACTACTTAAAGACAATTAAAAAAAAAAACAAAGAAAAGGCAGGCATCATTAACTCTAATTCCCAGAGGATCTGCATATTTTGCCAACTAATCAATTTATGATGATATGGAAGCAAAGTTTATCTAAACAAGGCAATGTGTGTGTGTGTGTGTGTGTGTGTGTGTGTGTGCAATCCCAGATTTGTGGGTGACAGGTAAGCATCTACCACTGAACTACATCCACAGCAAAAGGGAAATACCTTTAGTTTCTCTGTCTTCAAGAGTCTCTTAACTGTAAGCTTTTGTCACTTTTTATAGTTGTTCTTTAATGACTATTAGGTGCTCAAATTTTTATTTTAACATATTAAAATCTAGGATTAAGCTGTTGATGGGAAACTGTACCCACATTCCCCGGTTTAGGGGACTTTCTTCTATCCTGATTCCATGCTGAGATCTCAGCTCAAAGCACCTGTGAGGTAGTTGGGTCAGAAAGGCAACCTCTGGGGTTGCATGTATTTGGTAGACAGTTCAATGCTAGCTCTGTTTGTTGTAGAAGCAGGAAACTATGTGACTATTTTGTCTTCCAGGTATAATTCTAAATTAGAACCGAGGTTAAAAGGATCGTAATAGAGGCATGAATCAGATACTCTCCCCTCTGCTTCCCAACCCAACAGTAGATAAGGGGAATTAAGTTCAATAGACTTTGATCCTCACTGCAGTTGCTGTTATTAGCTAGGGAAAAGATCAATTTACATACAACTGTTCCTTGTATATAAAAGCCACCTCTACACCCACATATTTACAGCAATTCACCATTTCTAAAAAAAAAAAAATTGGAAGTGAAGGCGTGGGGATTTTTTTTTTTGTAATCTTTAAGTCCTTTTACAAAGAAATTTAAATCCAACATGTCACTTTCTGAGTCTAAGGCCTCTTGGTCAATTTCACCCACTACTTCAACCCTTCCCACCCGTCTCCAGAAGCCTGAAGAAGGAAATTGATCTAGTCAAAGTGGAGCTTGTCTTTTCAGTGTCTTCCTTGATCTGGTCTCCATTTTCCATATTAACCATCCCTCCAGAATATCCTGTTGGGGTGAGGGTTCCCGTTTCTCTTGTCTCCACCTCTAGGCCCCCTGTACTCCCCACAGTGTCCCCTACCCCTATCCCAGCCACGAGATCCTCAGATTTTCCTACAACTCATTGCCAACTGAGTCATGCACGACAATTTCCACAGTTTTTGTGTTTAGGGTGGGATTTTTGGGGGGGGAGGGAGAAGTGGTAAGCCTGGGGGTGACCTTAGGTTGATGGCATTTTGGGGTCCCTAGGACCAGCACCAGTGTCCCCAGTGTAGCCAGGGGCCCACAGTCAAGGCCTGGCTGGGAGCATCTGGGCGCTTGGGGCGCGTGGGGCTCGAGGACGGAGCGCGGCGGCGGAGATGGGGCTCCTCCCTCCCCGGGGCTCGGCGGGCACCTGGCGGTCGAGGCGGGCGAGGGGCGGTGCCGCGCGCGTCACGCGGCGGGGTGGGAGCGTGTGCAGGTGACACCCCGCGGCCTCCTCCACCGTACAGCAGCTTGGTCGGCGGCCCGGGCAGCAGGGGCCGCTGTGAGGAGCTCCGCGCTCGCGCCGCCGCCGCCGCCCGCGTTCCCGCGCGCCCTCTCCGATCGGCTCCGTGCCTGGTGAGTGGGGGTGTAGGATGAGAGGAGGGACGGGGGAGAGACCCTCCGGGACCAGCGAGGTGGGGCTAAACTTTGCTGGGGCTGAGGTGGAAAGAGCTAGAGAAAGGGAGAGAGAGCCGAGGTGGAAGGCGCCGGGGAGCGGCAGCGGCTGGAGGAACTTGGGCGCGGCGCGCCAGGAGTGGGAGCCGGATGCGGGGCACTCGGGGTGCCCGGCCAGGCCCTCCCTGTTCTTGGGGAGGCTCCTGGGAAGTGCTTTCCCTCATCGCTCGGCGCTTGCAGGGGACGGAAACTCCTCTTCCAGGGAGAGCTGGGGCCGCCGCGCGCACCTGCGCCTTCCCGGTGAGCCCCGCGCCCGCGCCGCGCGCCCCCCGCGCAGCATCCCGCGGGGAGGGTCGAGGCCCGCGCGCGCGCGCCCGCCCGCCCGCCCGCGCAGGAGCCGGGACGCCGGGTCCCGGGCGGAGTGGCCGAGGTGGCTGCTTCGCGGGGAGGGGGTGGGGACCGGAGAGAGAAGGACCTGCTCGACCTTGGCCGTCGAGGTCAATTTCCTGACTTGGGATCTGGCCTCTCCAAGCCCTTCCCCTCGCACTCCCCGAGACCCCCTTTCTCCCTACTTCCTTCCTCCGACACGGCCACAATGAACTCGGGGCGCTGCTCTTGGCACGGGGCGCTGTCTTTTTTGGCGACCGGGGCAGTGTCCTGTCCTGGTGGCTGCCGCTGGGCCGGGCAGGAGAGGGATGAGGACAGGGCCGTGGAACAGGTCGTTCCAGAGATGGGACAGGATAGCCGGTGATGTTATCGTCCGCCGTGTCGCTCGTTGGGAAATGGGCCTCTCCCTCCCGAGTCAGTCAGCGCTGATTGAAACTTACCGGATGCAGCCCGGCGCTCTCTGGAGCTCCCTGGGGAGCTCGGGACAGAAGACTCGGGACTCTGTCCCAGCCCAGATCCGGGGCAGTTGGGCAAACAGGTCCAACTCCGAGGGAAGAATCCTTTAGAGAGACCCGAGTTAGTTCCCACTGGTTCTTCCCCTCCTAGGAAAGCGTTTGCTCTTCACCCTGTGTGCTCTCAACTTACTCTTTGTTGACTCTTTACACTTATCGTTGAAATGCTACAAACGTCATTTTGTGAGTGCCTCTGCCTTCGAACCAGCCTTTTGCCCAGTCGTTCCCTTAATCTGTAGCTTCTATTCAATAGACATTCTCCCTAAAATCCCTAAAGGATTAAATAACCCCAAGTGCCAGGCACTGGTCTAAGTACCTATGTTAAGGCTGTTAAACGTCAACGACTCTTTGAGGTAGAAGGTATTATTCTCATTGTACCAATAAGGACATGCTCTATAATAGCAGTAAGGATTCCAGCTCTGGGGCTCAGGATGTTAACGATTGTGTAGTCTGACCCACCTACACTTCCTTTCTTGGTCCTTCTTTTCCTGAAATGCTATATCAAGCATTTTGGACCAGGCTTTCATTTCGTCTCTGGCCACTCTTTTCCTTCTTGTGTGTCTTTGTATTCATTTTACACACAAACAGCCTCTTCCCCTCAACGTTTCTCAGTGTACATTATGGTACACTACTTGGACTAGCCAAAGATTCTGTGGAGGGTTGTTCTGTCAGGGGCTTCACCATCATTCTACTCACCAGAACTCAATCATCTGTCTCATGTTACCCTCTCCTAATTGTGAAATATCTTCCTACTCATGTTTATGGGTTCTCCTGTATCCTGATCCCTCCTGCTGTCTTCACCAGATCACCATCTCCCCAACCACTCTTCCATCGTTTGTTCTGTACCCATTCTTACTATTATCTTTAGTAAGTATTACTTTCCATGAAAACATCACAAACAACCTACGACATCATATCTTCAGATTTTTTTAATATATATTTTTATTGTAAAGGTACCGTACAGAGGGGTTACAGTTACATGAGTAAGGTACTTCAGATCTTATACCTAGTAGTTGCTTGATGAATGTTTGTGGAATCAGATGTCATCTTCTAAGGTAATGTGGATGGAGTAGGTCTGGTGATGGCAAAACTTAAGCCAGATGGTGCAAAGTATGAAGGAGATTGTATTGATAGAAATGGGGGAACTGCAGGAAATATTGCTGAAGGGTAAGAAAACCTGTTCCCACTGCATTGCCACTGGGTGACCAGTAACTGTGACTAAACATAGTGTTTAGAGGTGTGAAGTAAATTAGCAGGGACTGTGAATCTTAACAAAGCACAATATGAAACCACAGTCTTCAAAAAAAATTTTTGAAAAGATAGCACATACAGAAAAGTGCACAAAACCTAAATGAATAGGTTAAGCACTGGATATATTTAGCAGTGGAATTTCTATTACAGCAGGACAGATGGATGAGGCAGTAGTCGGTATATGGAGGAGTCTTTTTACAAAGTAAGTAATCGATGTGGGCCTGAACTAAGCTAGAGAGTCATTATCAAGAAAGAATTGCCTGTGTTTTGGAAGGTTTGAAGTGAGAAGAAGAGAAGACAGAAGTGGCACCAAAATGGTGAGAATGAAGGCAGAAGAGGAGAGTTCTGATTCATTGAGCATTCTTTCCTTTTGCCTTTGTCTTTCTTTTTTTTTTTTCTGTGAATGTCTTCCCACAGCATATTCTATATACAATTGTAATATTCTGTGTTTTCCATATAACACAAAGAAAACATTTTATCTTATTTTTTCTGCTTATCTTGTTTGTTTATCTGTCTTGAGGGGGGTCAGGAGGTGCACAGAAATGGAAGGACAAAGTGTGAATAAATGCATCAGTGGTACACAGTAAACACTGTGTTGAAAATGAACTCTCTTATATTTAATACTTGCTGTTTGTATAATATTCTAGTAATTATAATATACTGTAGTGATTTTCCTGTGTGTGTATGTGTGCATGTATATACTCATGTGTCTGTGTGTGTATATGGTTCTATCTCATATGTGATAGGCAAATGCTCTGTCATCAGCAGCCCTATTTCAGTAGTACTCTACTGATAGGTAGATTAGCAACAGATTATAGACAATATAAATTATAGTAATCGTTTTCCTTGCAGATATATCATTTTGCAAATTGGGAACCTTCTCTAATGCTAGTGTTCTAGAACTGGAGTTGTTTTGTCAACAGAGATGGTCATTTTTACAGTTCTTAGTATACATTGTCAGATTTCTGATAGTAAATTGTTTTTAAGATGAATGCATTATGGCTACCCTTGTTTTTAAATCTAGACATTAACAATTCAATTCAATATAAGCAGTACTTTTGGTCAGTAACAAAGAACACAACATGCCGGTTTAAAATAACAAAAAATGTATTGTCTCACAGTTCTGGAGGCTACAAGTCTCAATCAGAGTGTGAGCATTATTAATTCCTTCTAAGAGCTTTGAGGGAAACTGTTCTAGTTCCTGAAGGCAGCATCAAACGTTGGCATGCCTTTGGCAGGTGGAGCCCATTCACTGCCTCTGTCTTCACATGATACTCTCTGTGTTTCTGTGTCTTCATATAGCCATCTTCTTATAAGGCCACCAATTATATTGGGTTGAGCACTCACCCTACTCCAGTGTGATTTCTTTTTTTTTTTTTTTTTTGGGTCCAGTCGTGGGGCCTGAACTCTGGGCCTGGGCACTGTCCCTCAGCTCTTCAGCTCAAGGCTAGTGCTCTACCACTTGAGCCACAGCACAGTGCCACTTCTGGCTTTTTTTTTCTTATGTGGTGCTGAGGAATCGAACCCAGGGCCTCGAGCATGCAAGGCAAGTGCTCTACCACTGAGCCACCTTCCCAGCCCCTCCAGTGTGATTTCTTAATCAACTATGTCTACCAAGACACAATTTCTTAATAATGTCACTTTCTGAGGTAGAGTGATTAGGAGTTGAACATATCCATTTGGAGGACTCAACTCAATTTGCAATTGAGATTTGTAGTAGAGTAGAATATGCATAACAGAATGTCTCTATCCTTAAATAATTTCTGATTAAGTTTCAGAAGTCGGACTTATCCTGATTTGATTGTTTATTCCCCATGATGCGCCTCTTGTGCAAACATCAGCTTTGGGATTGGGAAAAGTGGTATTTATAAAAGGATTTTAGAGCTTTTGTAGATATAGTAACATGTCAAAATGAGAAAGAACTTGGAACTTGGAATTTCAGTAACACATGTGACTCATGCCATAAGCAGTTTTGAGATGTCTATATACTACAGGTGTTTCTGTGACATATCCAGTTGTAAACATTCACAAATTATATAAAAGTTGAAAGCTAATGTGAATTTGGCAATTCATAAGTGGTCTAAAAATGAAAATTCCAGTTGTTCTTAATAATTGATTTAGATATATTAAAAGCGTACATTATTAGCTTTTTTGTAAACAATAGAAGTGGGCATTCGATCTCACGTGTTTATCCAAATAAAATTAATTTTCATGTAATTTACAAGTTTTCCAGATTAAAGACATTAATTAGTTTGGAGAAACAACCACTGGGGCCGTGAACACCACTAGCCCTCTTTCTTATCGTTCTAATGTAGAGTATAGAGCCAAATCTAGATAAAATCAAGGCATTTCAGAAGTTGCTTACTCAACAAACAATTGTCAGCTTTGTGTCAGGCAAAGTGGCTACAAAAGGCCAGGTGAGAGCTGTGTATGGTAAGAAGAGGACAGTGTAACAACACAGACCAGGGGCAGGGAGACACAGCAGACAGGCAGTCAAGGTAGCTCTCCTCAGGTAAAAGAAGAGTGGAGAATTGCTCAGCTGGGGAATGAGGCAAGGGATGGAAAATCAAATCCAGATAGAAAGGATGTGTGTGAGATCAGAGAATGGGAAATTCTTTAATATATCCACAGAAGTCAGTGTGAGACGAGGTTGCCTAGGCTTCAGTGGGCCAGATTTCCTAAGAGCCTTATTTGATCTGTTAAAGATTTTGGATTTTACTCCAAAGTTAATAGAGGAGCCATTGGAACCCTGTCAGGAGGACCTGTGACGATTCATCTTTTGAAGGATCCTCTGGTGTTCGCCACTTCACC